GGTACAGTTTGATCAGTTAGTGGTACCGGAACGTTACCGCCGTGATCTCTTACACTTAGCTCACGGTAGCTCATGGTCGGGTCACTTGGGTGTAAAAAAAAACGAAGGATCGCCTGCTGCAGGAATACTATTGGCCAGGTGGTTTCCGGGAAATAGAGAATTTTGTCAGAACCTGTGACACCTGTCAGCGTGTAGGAAAACCAGGGGATAAGGTTCGCGCCCCAATGAAGCTCGTGCCGGTGATCACTGAGCCTTTTCATCGACTCGTGATCAACACAGTAGGGCCTCTTCCAACAACAACATCCGGTTACCGTCATGTCTTGGCAGTAATTTGTCCCGCGACCAAGTTTCCTGAGGCAGTGCCCTTAAAGGATCTGAGCTCTGTAGAAGTGGTAAATGGGCTGTTGTCTATTTTCGCACGCGTGGGTTTTCCCGCTGAAATACAGTCCGATCAAGGGACCGTTTTTACGAGCGCACTGACTACAACTTTCTTAGAAAAATGTGGGATCCGATTAATCCACAGCTCGGTGTATCACCCCCAGTCAAACCCAGTAGAAAAGTTACACTCGGTAATGAAACGTGTCCTTCGAGCACTCTGCTTCGAGCGCAGTGTCGACTGGGATGTGTGCTTGCCAGCAACCATGTTTGCACTCAGAACTGCACCTCATGAAGCCACTGGATTTACCCCGGCAGAATTGGTCTACGGTCGCTCTCTGCGATCCCCACTCCGTATTCTTTGAGAGTCATGGGAAGGTCGAGCGAAGGACCCTATGGTGGTTGAATATGTGCTAACTCTGCTAGAGAGGTTGCATAGAGCACAGGAGCTGGCAGGGGATGAGATGAGCAAGGCACAGGCTCAGGCCAAACGCTACTACGACAGGTCGGCAAAGTCACGCCGGTTTGAAACTGGAGATCAAGTAATGCGGCTGAAACCTTTACAAAAGAATAAGCTAGATGTCCAATGGGAAGGTCCGGCGAAAGTCGTTCAAAAGCTGTCCGACACAAACTATCTGGAAAGGATGCCAGGTAGACGTAAGACGCAGCAGATCTACCACAGCAATCTGCTCAAACCGTATAGAGAGAGAGAGAGATTGTCGTAAACATGGCGGTAAACGTGCCCGAAGAGCCACCACTAGATTTCCCCTTTTCAGGAGCAGAAAGAAAGGAGGATAACGCTGGCCAAACGCTCAAATCTATGGTTGAGGTAGCTGAGCTCACAGCTAACAAGAAGCATGACCTAGAAAGCCTCCTGATAGAATATGAGGACATGTTCTCGGAAAAACGGGGTCAAACAACTTTGGTAGTGCATGACAGAGCTTACGGCCACTCAGCCCATGCGGTCAAAGGCGTATCGAGTGTCGCAGCGTCAGCGCACCACTATTGAGGCCGAGATTAGAAGAATGCTCGAGCTTGATGTGATTGAAGCTTGTGAAAGCGATTATACATCTCTGCTTATATTAGTGGAGGTTCCTGGGAAAGATCTGCGACCATGCGTTGATTCCCGGAGGTTAAATCTCATAACGAAGGATCAGAGTTTATTATCGAGACGGACCACTGTCCCCTCACGTGGTTGCAAACGATGTCACCTGAGAACGGCCGGCTATTTCGCTGGAGCTTGCTATTGCAACAATACTATTTCGAAATTCGTTACAAGAGAGGCAAATTGAATGGCAACGCTGACGGCTGAAGTCGTTGTTTCTAGGGATCTTGATGGCGTCAGGTAATCTGGCTTGGGTATTTAGGCTCCATTTTTTTCGTGTGACAGGTTTACAATTACTTTTTTTGTACTTGTGCTTTATCACGACATGTGTTTGTGAATTTGAGCAGGCTATTTCAGGTTGGGTTGGTGGAATTGCTGCTGCTATTGTAATGAAGAACAGGTCGTTTTGGATGAAGTAAAAGCCTGGTGGGTCTCAGGAAGAGAGTATGGGCGCTTGCCTGCTTGGCGGTTCTATTTCTCGCGTGGTGGACACAGGTGCTGTCTTTCGAGAAGGAATGTAGGCCAGCAGAGCGGGAGCCTTTCTCCCATTTCCGACGACGCTACCAGAGGCTCCAGATCACCGGGGGTGGCAGAGGAATGCAGCAGAGCCGCATCGAGGTGTCCACGGCTTCAGCACACCAGCATTGTCTTCTTCGACCTCTCCCCACAAAGGTGGATGACCTTTGTACGTCAAGGTCTCGGCCAGCCGCCGAGGAAGCTGTTACAAAGCAGTAACGAAGTCCTTGGGCCGGCTGCCCCCAAGCGTGCCTTCCCGTCATCTCGGACATTCTTTTGTGGGGTGCGGGTTGTCACATGCACCGGCTGTCTTTGTCTCGGCTGTGCGCTTCGCCTGCGGAGCAGTGGCTAAATCGGGCCCCTCTAGAATGTGCGGAAGGCCGGTTGTGTGCTGTAGGAGCGACTCCCATAAATTCCTCCTACGTGGTCGCCTCCAAGTCCCCGCGCGTGTGCCACGTGCGTCTGCCATGTGCGTGAAGGCATACTCGTCTTGTATTGTGCTCTCCATGAGTGGTTGTTTCCCCGAAGTGACATTCCGCCCCTATCTTCAGAATTGCACGGCGAGGCAGCAAGAGCAGCCCGCCAGAAGAAAACAGGAGAGGGTCTCGAGAAGAGTCTTTGCTTGGACATTACTGTCCGACATGTTCAAATAAACGTCTTGTTAAGTTTTCCTCTACGCCGGTCCCTTTGCCTCAGCTTTCTGGAGTTCTTAACGTCCCCGTGGCCTGCAGAATGACGACCACCACCCAGCTCCACGCTACCTACTGGGTCCGCTGCGGTCACCGTCGCGGCTCAAAACACTGGCTAGAACACGTCACTTCTGTTCGCGCAAATGCTTCCAAAACATTAGGGTATTTACGCTGAAACCTCCGTCATTGTCCATCTAACGTTCACAACTGTCTTATCTTACTTTCGTCCAACCGCAGTTTGAATATGCCTCATCTTTTGGTCCCCTTCCGCTTATTATTAAATTAACATGCTGGAAGGAATTCAGAACAGAGACGCTCGTGACATTTCTAGGAACTACGACATTCATTCCAGTGAAACTCAGCTTAAACTTCATCATTCCCTCCAAGCATTGCATGCTCACCATCACGTGTCCTTGTTATGCCTATTTCATAAGTGCGTGTACAGTAACAAAACATCGTCATTGCACCTTCAACGTCCTCTCTACACGTCACGCAGGTTACATAATCATCTCAGCTTCACGAGCATGTTTGGTAACACACGTCACGCAGGTTACATAATCATCTCAGCTTCACGAGCATGTTTGGTAACACAAACACGTTTAACACATCAGCACTACCGCAAGCCATCCACATGTGCAATGATCTTCCTGACAATATCGCCTCTGATAGTCATTCTAACACGTTTAGGCAAAAACTTGAGATGCGTTTTTTTAATATAGCATAGCCAGATTGGTTGACTTGTTTTACTTTCGAGCTATTTTATGTTGTGAAATGTTGGCTTTTATTTTCATCAGCAAGTTGTAACCTCTTGTTTTAAGTGGTACTGACTTTTTGAATAGTTAGTTTTTACACCACATTATGCTGTTATTATTAACCCGTATTGTATAGTTGTTGCTTACAAGTTTACTTCTGCATTCACTGTAACCCCCCTTACTCAATGCTTTTGGGCCTGTAAGGTAGTTTTCAATAAATAAATAAATGTGAAAGTTCCTTTACTGTACCGGCTGCTTTAGCATGGAAGTTCTATATTCTGATTTAGAATACAATAAAATTCCTTCTTTTATGGATAAGTAATAAATAAACAAGGTAGTTTGTTCATCCTGGGTGAACACTTAATATTAAAATATGGTGTTTAGCATCCCCAAACCACCATATATATATATATGAGAGATGCCATATTAAAGGGCTCCGGAAATTTCAACCACCTGAGGTTCTTTTAACGGGCACATCAATCTAAACACACGGGCCTACAGCATTTTCGACGGAGGCGAAAATGCAGCCGCTGTAGCTGGGATTCGATCTCAGCGACCTGCGAGTCAGCAGCTGAGTACCTTAGCCACTAGACCACCGCGACGGGGCTTGAAGAGTTATTAGCTTCTGGCACTGCAGTAACTCAACAGCTTTTTTGTAGTGCCACCAGAACCCCATCCTTCCTTATTCTTTCCATCAATTTGCTTTTACACAGAACACTGCAATGACTCAAAGTATGCAGAGAAGTCAAAGAAGAGTTTGCTTAGAGGAGAAGTGTAGGCACTTTTGAATCTCTCCAACCAAAGTAGCATCGGCGATAAGTCTCTCTGCAACTCGCAACAGCCGTAGTTTTCTTTGTATGTGGCCCAACAAGTGTGCACACTCAACCAAAAAGTGTTCCCGAACCACATGTGGGCGCATCGATGGCAACCCGCACTTATTCCTGAAGGCAATGTTTCTACGTGGAGCACTTTGCTGTCTTGCCCGAAGAGGGAGTATCAATGGTGGTGCAGCGCATTGGGGCTGCTGCCTATCAAAAGCATGCAGCATGCTTATAACTGTGCTAGGCCACATCTACTCCTGAACAGTTAGCTGCGGATTCTTTTCATAAGGGATCGACAGCAACTGCGAGTTTTCTGCCTGCCAATGTCGCACCTCCATGCATTTCCAGTACTTATCTGTAAAGACAATGGCGCACTGAGCTGTGATAGCGGCCCCTTTAGATTTTCGGTCAGTTTCACCCAAAACACCTATGCATTGTAGAAAGCTGGCTTTTAGGCACAGCTACAATTACAAACAATGAGGCTAGCTAAAGTGCCACTATAAACCTACGAGATAAAAAATATGGCAAACGTGGAGGCTGCAGTTTTAGGACCTGAAATTTAGGTATAAAGTGCGAAAAAATCGGATGCCAGAGATTTTCAACATAGGAAATTTCGGACGTTCTTATACATTCACATTTATGGGGCTAGTGACAGTGCCGCGAAAGTGTAAAAAAAAAGGCAGTTGACTGTAGCTGCTCACACCCAAATGCTACAACATGTAAAGCAAAGTGAAAGACTAGCCTTGTTGAGGAGGTTGACTTTGGTTGTTGGGTTGGATGCATCTCCACTGAGCTTGACCAGCAAGGCTATCAGGCGCATGTATGCATCAAGAGAGTTGAAGCACTTTGAGCGAACAATGGTTGCATTGTTGGGTGTCTGGTCCAGGAGGGCCCGGTAGCAATGCTCCACACACATCTCTGTGCTCAGACGAAAGAATCGGGTGATCAAGTCGTCAGTCTTCAAAATACCTTGCACGTTCATCTGAAACACACCCAGAAGATAGGTATCAGATATGAAAACAGGGAATGTGAAGCAAAATAGCTTCCAGTATTTGAAGACAATGAAAACTGTTCCAAATAATTTAGTGATACATGAGAACAAAGCTATAGTTCCATAAAATTTACGAAAAGATCAGAACTGTTGAAAAATTTGTCTTGTGCAGGGGTGGAAGTGGACTTCAGTTACAGTCGAACCTCGATATATCGAACGGCGCGGCGATCGCGAAATAGTTCGACATATCCAGAATTCGATATAAAAAAATCACGAAAAAAATGCGTCAACAGCTTGCTGAAAACAACCTATGAACCGTTCAAGCGTGGTGCAGTAAATACTCACTTGAAGACTCAAACATAGTATTTATTGTGTTGGTTTAAAATATTGAAAAAGAGTAGCCTGCTTTTTGTTGGCCATGGCGTGTTTGACGACTGTGTCCTCAATATAGTCCAGGCGATCCATAAGTGATAGGCCGGTGCCTTCAATCGGGCCAAGGCAGCTACGACCTCAGCTGATGTCGGGAGCGGGGCACCATCAGCGCTTGCGGAATGCACCTCGGCAGAGTCTTCATTTGGCTGCTTAGCAGTAGCTTCGGCGACAACCTCCACATCCGTGAGTTGGATGCGTTGTTTTTGACCGCAACTTCGCGGTGTTTTCATTTTTGACAACGTTGTATCGCTCAGACTTCATGTGCACAGACTTCTGCAGACTACGTCAATGCAAAAAATTGCAGTAAAAGTTACCGGTGGTGTGCCACAGTTCACTGTGTATGCGATGCCACTGTCATGGCCGCTGGCAGTGCTACTGTCACCTCTCTCTTGTTGTGGTTATTATTTCGAGCCCATAGGTTAAAATGAGCACAGACCATGAATGTTCAAATAAAAGCAGATCATTTCAGTTTCCGTATGGACGCCTCATTCACAACGAAAGATGAATATGCGAACGGTCTGATTATGTCCGAACACAAACACCCTATGTCTGAATGTACAAACGGTCCAAACGCACTTTTCTTTCTAAAAAAATTGGAGCAAAGTTGGGGGGTGCATTTATTACGTGGGGTAAATTTTATGAAAACTTTTTCGGAAGTAAAAAATGTGGTAATGCAAAAAAAAAGTTAGGTTGCTTAGCTTTTTGCAATCGACACACGCTTACACTGTTTGGAAACAGCTTTTTTGTTGCACTTTACTCATCTTCGGTGGTTTATGGCGCTATCTTCTGCAAGCTGTGCCCCGGCGCCCACGCACACTATAAAGCGTTTTGCGGCTTTCTTTTCTCGCAATCGTTCAAACCGCAACATCTGAAGAGGCGCCCAAGAGCGTGCGCTATGACGCACTTTTCCAACTTCGCGGCAACCTCGCACGACAACCGTGATGATGTCATTAACATTGTAGCAAGTAACCAGCACTGCAGCAAGCTACCCCCGAAGCATCAAAACAGACCGTTTATAACAAGATTAACGACAAAATACGGCCGCTGCCTCGCTTCTACAAGAGAAGTTCCTCTACGCGCGGGTAACAAGCGAAGTGAGAATCGGGGGTGCTACCAAGTTGCTGAAATCGTCGAAGTTTTTTGTGTAAGACAAACTATTTTTTTCTAGTTTTCCAGAAACTTGCGACGCGATAGCGACAAATGACCCTTTGCAACAGCAAATCCTGTCGTCGTCACTCGAAAATCGTGTGCCCATAGCTGGACTTTTTCGTATTCGCAGGAAGCCATCGTCGGTTGGCGTGGGCAGCTTCATGACCTTCGCTCGCTGGGTGCTTATCAGCTGCGATGTCTACACTCACACTGTTGGTGAACCCAGCTGTGGCCCACGGATAAGATGGTCTTATCTGTGGCCCAGAGATAAAAGAATAGGGCACACAGCAACTGGGCAAAGGGAGGGAGGGAGCAGGGTGGGTCAGCAAAATAATGAAAAATGGAAGAGATATAACGGGTGAGCAGGCGCCAGGTGTCATATTTAGCGGGACTGTAGAGGATGATGTAGGAGATGGCATTTATTACGCAGGAGAAAAAAAATCGAAATTTTGATGACTGAAGTTGGGGGTGCATTTATAATGCGAGTGCATTTATTACGCGAGTAAATATAGTATTTTAAAATAGGGCAAAATAGGACAGAGGAGCGCAATGTGGGGGAAGTTGCCGTTATTACATTAAAATGTGTGCCGTTGTCTGAATTGTCAGAGTCGGTATAGCTCGAAAGTCCAATTCTTTTCCTTTTATTTTGACCCTATTTCGGTCCATTTTGTGGCCAGTTGCTTCTGCGTGTTTGGCCAGCACGTTTGACGAAACCTTCTTTCTTACATCATACATGTGCCGCTCTAGTCTTCGTTAATCAAAGCTTAATTCTCTCGCCCAGGTAATCTTTACCGCAGTCTGCCCCCCACCATCTTTCTCCCCGGGTGCTCGACACCGTGTCTATACCCTACCACACGAGTGTCCATCCGCCACCAGTGGCATAGCCACAGGCTAGCACACAAAGCCTGTGCCCCTCCCCCGCCTCCCAAAAAACTTTTCCTGTTTTATGCGCACAAAATAATGGTCTACCACCTCTGCCTTCCAGACTCGTTCTAATCAAGATGGTGCTCCGTCCAAAAAAATTTCTGCCAACACCCCTGCCGTCCGCCGCGACTTCAGCCCACAAGATTAATTCCTTGCTTATAGATTACGTCTCCCATAGCCTTCATCACTTCCTAATGTAGTTGTTTTGATCTTCAGGTGAAAACGTGGTCAGCTTCGAGAACTGATTCATCTTCTAGGAGCTGCCGTGAAATATAAGACAGCTTATGAATTAAGCTGTAAAAAAAGAAAAAAAAAAGTGGAGATACGCAGTTTTACTGACACATAAAATTGCAGTTTAGATCCCGGTACGCAAGAACTTGCAGCATGCACATTCAAGAACGCAAAATGATACGGCTGGCTGATCACATTTTTAATCATTATTTACCCTTTTATAGAACCTCTGCAACTGAACCAATCATTCATAAGTTTCACCCCAGTGTGGCTCGATGGAAATCAAATGTGCAATGTGTGACCACCATAAAATTTTGTGCAATAATTATTAGAATCATGCCGCCCAATTCTCACATTTGGCGGCATGACACCAAATGTGAGAATGATACCAAATTCTCACATTTTCCCGCAATTATAACAGAAAGGTTGCGGCTGCATGCGGCTGTAAGAATGCTGTGTTGATCCCCACAAAGCGCAGAATCAGCTCGCGCTATGCTTCGTAAGGCTATGTATGCTAAACAAAAATGTAATTATCCTATGCTTGTCATGTAAATCGCGGGCCCTCTTTAGACGTAAACCTACAATGAATGAAGTGGTGTAGTTGCGTACATTTCTTGGAGCAAAGATAAGTTTATTTACCCTTAATACCCATTCGATACTTCGATTCCACACGAAATGAGTTGCCACCTTTTACAGAGGCGGCGCGCTCGGCCCTCGTTTTTATTCAGGTGGCCATCGCAGACAACGCCCGCAGTAGCGAAGACTTTGATTGATTGGTACGTGGGGTCTAACGTCCCAAAACCACCATATGATTGCGAGAGATGCCGTAGTGGAGGGCTTCGGAAATTTCGACCACCTGGGGTTCTTTAACGTGCACCAAAATCTGAGCACACGGGCCTACAACATTTCCGCCTCCATCGGAAATGCAGCCGCTGCAGCCGGGAAGTGTAAAACTTTTCCAGGGTAGTTATTTAGCACTTCGTAGTCAGTGAAGACGTTTTAGCAGAATTTAACTGATTTTGTTGAGTAAAGTACAACAAGAAAATTATAATAAAAAGAGAAAACACGAAAGCGGCTGCGGACTGCGCGCGAGAAGACGGCGGAGCAATCCAATCATGTACGTCACAGGGACGCCTCAGCATGGTAGCGCCACTATATGTCTTCGCGCCCAATAATGCTCTTTTGGAGCAGCTTTTATACAGTAAAAGCAAGAGTTTTGGAGCAGATTCGGAGCAACAAAAGGTGTGTTTTGAAACAACGCAAGCTAGTTTTGGAGCAGCTTTTAAGGGTCAAACATCATCATCAATCAAAATTATTGCTGGCAAAAAGAATCCAATGGTTTTTCACTAAACGTTCAGTACTGAAGAGCTTACCATACTTACCACCTGCACAGGCACATGTGTGTGTGTGATACAAAACATGCCCATTTTATACTAAGCCTGAAACGAAAAGAATATATTCTGAGTGGTAAAACCATGTAACTATTTTTTTACGTGATCGTATCTACTAAAAGGAATCTCGCAAGCCTGGTGTGCGAAACGGAGCATAGATAGTCGCAGTGCACTCTGCTTGGTGGAAGTTTGCTATCCCGTGCTTGGTCTGGAGTGAAGTGGGGACCAGCAATTCACACAGCAAATCCGCGCGCACCGTGCAGCGAGCCGCCTGGCAGCGATGCTGTGGGCAGCATATGCGCTGCGCAGCACTCAACCAACCAGGGGATGATCCGAGTCCACGCGACCGCTTCCCGTTTCCATCAAACTGTCAGTTGTCACTTAGTATTGCGGTAAAGAAGCGCACATATGTGTCGCGGAAAGTTGATAGTGTCCATTTTGTCCCTGTCTCGGTCGCTGCATATCCCACATCCTGTAAGAGTTTTTAGAAATGCTCCTTGGCATGCCCCTTGCACCCGATAAAACAATCGTTCGAGAGTGCCAGTTGAGTATGATCTTTTTTGCACTCTGGAAAAACGGAAAAAGCACTTTCTGAAAGGTAGTTTGGGTAAAATCTGCTGTGGTACTGTATTCGTTAAGTGGTGGCGATGGGGCGCATAAGGGAATGCACATTTCCACTGGTAAATGTCCACTGCCATTTACTGCATGATCTTGCCGCATTCTCGACTGGTACAAATCATCAAGGTTTTCACCAATTTTACGGGGAAACCATAACGATAACGGCAGTGAAAGCCCCAGAAATGAACCGAATCACAGTTTGATCAAACTCCAATGCTCAGTGTTGCTCGGTAGACCATAATAATCGGCTATATTTGGCGGTTTACACTTCCAATTGACAATTATCTCGGAAATGATCTTAATGCAGTAGCTTGGTGCAGCCTAGTGCAGCAAGTCAGATTGGCACAGAATGACGTCATTGGCGCGGCACTTCCACCCCTGCTTGTGCGATAAGCCAAAATAGTTGGAATATTCGTGTTCAATTCCACTCTAATGCTGGAGAATGTATGCAGTAAATCCTAGCTATTTCCTTTCTCTTTTTTCCCCACTGCTGAACAAACTTTGGAAGTACTCTGCGTATGCACATAATTGAAAATAAGTCACTAGATATATGATCTTTTCATTCACGTCCTTTACCTCGATCAGATACTGTTTTTCCTTTAAATATTGGTCTTACTTGCTGCACAAATATCTGGAACGCCTTGGTAGAATCTTTGCCAGCAGTAGGAGCGTTGTACATCGATACCCACTCTCGCAGCAGAAATTCTGTCTTTTCATGCAGGCCAGGTGGGTCATCGTACTCGCGTGCCTGGCTGATGCCCGAGTGCATCATTGACATCGGCCCACTGCTAGGCACACCCCCGTACTCCACTGCGCCTCCGCCACTTCCACTACGCAGCATCTCCATCACTTGGGATAATCTGCAGAGAACAGTCTCATCTTATTGAGCCATACCTCTAAAAATATCTACATCCATCACAACTTGCAGAATGTACTTGAATGAACTTGAAAGAGATTACCTTTGCAATGTTGTGGCAATTTTTGAGGACGTGAAAGAATGATGTAAATAAAGCACTAAACATTTTTTTGACAGAACAAACAATTATACAGTAAAGCAAAACACCATACAAAAGACAAAAGTAAATAATTTGGAATAATAATTGCAGGAGTTTAATGTCCCAAAACCACCATATATGATTATGAAAGACGCCACAGGGCTCTGAAAATTTTGACCATCTGTGGTTCTTCAACAAGCACCTAAATCTAAGCACACAGGCTTCAAGTGATTTCGGCTCTATTGAAAATGTAACTGCCGCGGCGGGGATTCGATCTTGCGACCTACGAGTCACTAGCCAAGTGCCTTAGCTACTATACTTGGTGACAACTTTTCTTGGCGCTGAAGGGAAAGCTACAGGGCCAAATCACGTGCATCCTACTGCCAGTGAAAGTAGTTCCAAAGTAGCGCCCGTATTTTAAACGTGAAATATAAATGATCCCCCTTTATTTTCTATGTGGAGCTATTTGAGACAGTACACAGCTCACACCTGCAAGATATTCGTATTTCTTTCGATTGATCTGTTGTGACTTCGCGTTTTTGAACTAGTGAAGAAATCCCATCTTTTTACATGCACCTCAAATGTTAAGCAGCTCCTGTGTCTACATGAAATGCTGATGGTCTGCCCACATCACTTTCCACAGCATTACGAGACGCATACTAAAACGGACTACTTCGCGTGGCGCTACATGTGCAGAAGCTTCGCCTCCGTAGCTTTCCCTTCAGTGTCAAGAAAAGTTGTCGCCCAACATAGACCACCATGATGGGTCAAACAATGGCTCTGCTATATATACAACATAGTTTAATGCACTATTATCATGCCCTGCATAAAGGAAAGTAAAAGATCATTTAGCACAGAAACATTTTCTTCTTACAGCAGGATTGCTAAAAATATGGCTTTCATATTGGATATAGAAACATGTGAAGCTGTGGAGAACGAAAAGCAATAGAGAGCACAGCAAAATCTGTCTGAAATGTACAACCATTGCTTTAGAACAGGGGCTAAAAGTGCCTATATCTTTTTGAAGCAACAAGACAGCCAGAATTAGAGAACACACCACAGAAAATTTAACAACAGTGTTTCTAATTTCCAATGGCAAAAAACGCGACACACTGTGCAGACATTTCCAGTTTCCACCGGTGTCGTGGTGGAAACTGCAAAAATCAACACAGTACACATACAGTGCACACAGAGAGGTTTAGCAGGGAGAACGACTGCTATCAAGGCTCAATGGTAATCCTAGCCCTCTAGTGAAAGAAGAATGGCCAACGGAGGGAAACTTTTGCTCACCCCTCTTGTGGCTGCCTCGAGTGAGCATTGATGCGCACAAGTGCCTCTAAGGTATTGCACAGGTCGGACTCCGAAAGGTTGTAATCACCATGACGAGCTTCGGAGAAGTACAAGCGCACCAACTGCTTGGCAAAGTCGACCGCCGGGTAGTTCATGCCATTCTCCATGGACTGAGCCAGATGCAAGTCAAAAGTGGCCAACACCAGCAGGCCTGATCGCACCAGAGGGTCCACTACATCCACATTCCAACGTATCTCTTCGCGCAGCTCCAGAAGGAAGCGCGTTATATGCTTGGCTGCCCACGGGTGACCGTAACCCTCGGCCAGTGTCTTCAGCACTGCCAGGTGGGCCTCACGAAAGCGCAGCGCAGTCTCGGGGTCTGCTCCCAGCGAATGACTGAGCCCTTCAGCCATACTCTCCACTGTCTGCACACAATACACAGACCAAATACAGCTTTACCAACAGCCTATTAAAGGCTAACAAATAACATTATGGTGAGCACTTGTCACCAGCGGTGGCAAAAAAAATTGTAGATAACCAAAATTAATAATTAGCACTGCTTTTAACAGCTGCCGCGTAAAGTAATTTACAAAAGCTCCGGCACCTCCCAAAGCATGTTAGCACTGCGAGGCTTGCTCACAGGTATGATCACACACGTGCATAGGGTTCAAATTTCATTTGCTAAAGTGCTTTGATTTGTAGTTTTCTCTGTTTCTGCATCAAGAGAGTCCAAAAATACAGTATGCTATCCCGACTAGCCCGAAAAACGCAATGGTTTGGAAGCTGCTCACACTCTCTCAGAAATATCTCAAGGAGTACTGCCAGGTAGCATGCTGGGGCCCATACTATTCATCTTTACCAATGATATAATAAACATTTCTAATGATGCTAACATAGTTTACGAAGGTGACACCAGCATTTTTTTTTAGATCAAGCGATATAAATACTCTCTCGGGCATCCCTAATACTGCACTAAAATACTTGGCCAAATGGAGCTCCATTAGTTCACTAAAGCTGAATACAGCAAAAACTAATGCGGTCCTTTTCACCCTGCCGTAATGACCCAATTTTGAAGATTTCAGATTGGAGCTTGGATCTGATTGCATAGTACTTGCATCAAACATCAAAACCTTGGGAATAGTTTAAAATAATCATCTTACTTACAATGATCATGCTGATCAAATATCACCACACGACGAAAGCCTGTGAGGGTACTCTGTGGACTGCACTATTACCACGTAGTGTCAAACATATGATTTAAATTATAACACCCTGTTTTCCCCCTTATTGGATCTATGAACGGACACTTCACGGAGACGCCGAAACAGCATGCACTACTTTTCAAGAACTCACAACGACGTCGACAGTGTAACACTCTCAACTCAATACCAACGGTTGTGCAAGCACTCGCGGGAGTCGATAATGGACGGCGAAGCTCGGTAGGTAGCATATTGTCACTTAGCACGGAACGACACCACTAAAGTCAATTTACATAGATTGAGTGTGCTTAAAGGGCCACTCACCAGGTTTGACAATTTTGAGCTGACAAGCACAATGCTTAGACGAGGCGTTCATGATCACGTCTGCCAAAATTTGCAACGCTACTCGCCGCGAAAATGGATCAAATTTCAAGATGAACGCAGCTCCCCCTCCTTTCTGCCGACGCGCGCCCAGAGAGTGAGGGCATGACGTGCGCCTATGAATGGCCCTACCTACACGGCAATGCAGTGACGTTGGTCCTCTACGTAGACGACTCTGCTCTGACGTTGCACACAGTGGCACGTGACATGGCGAAAATTATTTAACACGGCATGCATAGTTTATGTAATTTGTTGCTTGAAGAGATTCATAGAGCTCTAGATAAATAATGAGATGCAATAAGGGAATGCTAGCGTCTTTTTTCCATTTTTCTCCCGTGAATTGCAACGAGATGTGGGGCTAGTGTGTCGGCGTTTCGAATGCGTTCGTGTCCCCGCGGTCAGCGCATCGAGCAGACGACCGCTGTAGAATGCTCCTACGCCTTCGTGCACCAATTGTGCTCATCTATTCTACCGCGTCATAGCCAGCGTTTCCAAACCATCCCGCAGAAACAGGAAGATCACAAAATAACGCTTCCCGTTTTCTCCGCTCGTGATTAACCGATTGAAAAAAGTTTTGTGGCAAAATGTTCCTCATCGAACACCCAACAACTTCTAATGTCTATGGGGCCTGGTGAGTGACCCTTTAAGAAAAAAGCAGTTCGTCACATAGCAAATGCTCAGTATGAAGCCCATACTGAAGAGCTATTTTCCACTCTTAAGATCTGCCCACTTGAGAATTTCTACTATTCTAACCTCGTTATAAAATGCGAAAAATACTTCCGATGCAGCAACCATAGTTTTTTGTCATTATGCAACCCAAAGCTATCTTGTCCCTCATGTGAAATATGGGAGAGACAAATGCAAGGCCGTCCAGCAGGCCCATGGAGCGGCCGATAGGCTTGGCCTAACGATCCCGACGTGGGAGTCTCCCTCTACGCGCTGACGCGCGCCTTGCAGAACCACAATAAAGTTTCGCAACCAACCAACCAACTTAAGGGCATTGCAGGACCTGTCTAAGAACTCAAAGCAACATGCAACATTATTTTTCCTCTCTAAAATATTTAAAATTAACTCATTTTATTGCACTTTCCATAAATAAATGGATATTGCAATAACAGCTGAGCAAGAACTAGTTTTAATAACTTCTCGAGATCACAAAACACAAAGCTAACAAAAGCGGTTGATATTTCCTCCAGCATATGCTTGAAGTTCCTCAACTTTATTCAAAACTTCCAGTGTAGTGTTATTTCACTTATACAAGTAAATGTACACGTCCATGATATTAACAATGAGTAGCCTGTCATTCATATACCTAAAAACCTTAACGTTTAAGGTGCTATCCAGATTAAAGCTTTGTCAAGCAATCGGTCAACATTAGATAAAAATATATTGTACAGCAGCGGCGCAATGCAGGATCCAATGCAAATGCCGCATTCACGCAGAAAAAGCTGCTTGCCGAAACATACAAAAGTAGTGCTTCAGTAGACTTCCAACAGAGGTGAAAAGTTGTCTACCGTTACACAGTTGCATTTTGAAAGGGTATGACGCCACTTTCTTCTGTGCAGGCCTTCACTGCAACAAAGAGTTCATCATGCGAGTTTGAGTAAAAAAAGTCCTCCACTTCTTCTGAGAAGGCATTACTGAGCGAGTGCTCATTATCTGTCAGGAACTGAACTGTCTTTCGAACTGCTAGTGTAGAAGCGGTCCTTGATCTTAACGCACTTTGGCACCTTCGGTAGGTGCTTACCAAGTAAAAGTTGCCATGTGTCTTGTTTTATATATTTTTATCTAATGTTGAACAGTTGCTCGACGAAGCTTTTAATCTAGATCGCACTTTAAATGACTTTTTAAGACTCACAAAAAAAACTGGCTTTTACACAAGAACTGCCATAATTTAACACCCTGCACTTTTTAGATCTGTGTAACCTTCCATAGCAGCCAAACGTGCTCCCAATATTTTCCTTGCGTCGAGAAAGGGGTAATGCGGTACGCATTACCCCTTTCTCGACGCAAGGAAAATAGTCAAGCGTACTATTGCTACGCTCTGCTTGGGATCTGCTCTCAAAAACTCGTACACGCACATGGTGCAGAGATCATTAGAAAACCAGATCCAGCAACTTGAAGCTGCGAATTTCCATGACTCGCTATTGACAGCTGTCTCCAAAGCGCTTTTGCGGAAAGCAAAGAGTGAAGGTACTAGAGCTGCCATGGGGGAAAGGAAACCGAAAGCGTAAGACCTACAGTGATTACTTATGTTCATAAAGTCTCCCACAAACTGAATAAGATAGCAGGCTGATATGGAGTACCTGTCGCCTTTCCCCCGCCCACAAAACTGGCTCAGCTGTGCCCGAGAACTGCTTAAGAGGAGGCGAGCCATCATGCTCTGGAGGAGGCGAGTTGTCAGGGATGTGGCAAGAAACATGGCACGACGTACGGAAAATGTGCCAAAGGCATGGTTTATTCAACTTTTTTTTCTTGTGGCAACTTGTACATAGGGCACACTGGCCGCTGTATTAATGAACGAGTTAGGGACCATGAACTAAACCTAATGAAGGATGGCATGGCGCATTTGCCTATGGATTGCAAAGCCTGCAAGGATGAACCACGTTTTAGAGGTCAAGATTTTCGGCAGAAGTAGGTATAAAACTGCACGTGCGTTGATGGAAGCCTATTATATTAAAAAGAAAGGAGAACGGTGTATCAGCGACATGTCGGTGACGTACGTATCGGGAAAGAGGTTTTTCAATAGCTGGATAGCGTAAACTGTGTTAAGACTGCTCATGTCTGTATGTTGTATAATTATTTCTGAGTTTGTGCTCAGTTTAATTGGAAGTGCTGCTTGTCCTTGTCGCTGTATGTTTTTTTTAACTCTGCATTTGTGATACTTCGCGGCCAAAGGGCATGATCAAGCATATACAGGCGTGAGCATGAATGTACAGACCACGGGATCGCATGGCCGAGGGCATCAGCGCACTATCTGGCGACGAGACGCCTGCTGCACAGCGCATGCGCGTCCCGTCGCATCACTTGGCCTCACGTCGCTCTTTTCGATGTGCTCGTAGGCAAAACGACAACTGGGTGCCACTGTCCTTACTCCATCACATTTGTGCCTTTTTTTTTGTAGTTGTTTGCATAGTGGCTGCAACGGCGCTAGTTTCAGCACCCGGCTCGCGTCGGGATTTATACCAGTTTATTAGCATGACTGAGCGTAGCCAGCCTCCCAAAACCTGATCAAGCTAAGCACACTAAATTAGGTTTTCTCAGCTTGCATTTCTTGTGTTAGGCCAAGCTGAACTTCAATGAGCCTAGTTATGATGAAACAAGAGCAATAAGTACGAATACAAAATTGAAATTTTGTGTGCTTGGCTTCATCAGGATTTGAGAGGCTGGCTGTGCTTAGTTATGAATCAACCAGCATAAATAGCTATGCGATCCCTGCACAGAAACCGACAATGTTGCAGCTTCTACGTTACAAAAAAAAAAAAAAAAAAAACGGCACAAATCCAATATAACAAAGAGAGTGACACCCAGGTGTTACACCACAGCAAGAGTTTCGTCATTATATAGCACGTTGATGCCTTGAGCCAAGCGATTCCGTGGTCTGCACATTAATGCTCACACCTGTACTTGACTGCTGTGGCTTGGAAGGAAAATGCAGGACACTATCATCTGTGCACCAAACATTGTCCTAGAGAATACTGAAAGCTATGCGAGCACAGATTTTGCCTTTGCCGAGGGTCTGTCTGTCTGACCTAGAAGCAGTGGCAACATTGCGAGAAGAAAGCATTACGTGGTCTACATGCGATTGGGACGGCCGGAACGAAAAGAAAGCATGACTGATGCTC